CTCTTCGCGTTTGCAGGTGAAATGCCCTACCAGAATCTGTCATGTCCCCACGCTGGCAGAGTTCAAAACCAGAGTGGATCGTCCGCTATTGGGGGTCGAACCCATGACCGCTAGAGGCAGATGCCAACTAGCCAGCAGCTTAAGCCACTGAGCCATGGGGGACGTCGGCTGGGCTACACAATTTGCAAGCTAACTGGGATATAGCACGACCTATCTTCCACTGCCACGCAGGTTACTAACCTAGGTAATGAGAGTGGCTAGCCTTCGAAGTTCTTGATATACCTCACGTATCTCTTGATATTGTAGTTTTACCACCATCATCCGGCGAGACTTGTCAAGCAATTGCTTTTCTTTGTGCATTGTTCATTGTTCGGACAGATGGGCCAGGTGCCGCGTTGTTTCAGGGGACTTGGGTCCTAGGATATAAAACTCGGGGAGGGTGGGAGGTGGTCGGGACAGACGGCGTGATGCCGTATGGTTAACGAAGCAAGTATACAGAGCAAACTGAGTACACTTTTTAGTTTTTTTAAAAGTTTTGTGTATTGCTGTTTTTTTTGCAAAACGATTTTGAGTAAAACAGATGATTAACACAAAAGGTGAAAAATGTGAATGTTATGGAAAGTAACAATGTTACCAAAAGCTGAAAATCGAACTGGCCATCTGACATGTCTACCTCGTCGGTCATTTGCCTGAGGTTGGGGCTGGGTTGGCGGAGAGTCATGGGTAACAGAAGGGTCTGGAGTGGTTGGTGTGGAAGACGCAGTTGCAGGTGCGTGCACCTATGCGGTTGCATCCGGTGAGGCTGGGAGCGGGTCCTCGAAAACGGCACCTTGAGACGATCATGACCACCGTTTTTCGGTGGCCATGCTGGTCTAAGGTAAAGTGCTTCGGGGTTCATTAAAGAACTTCAAAGCGGCCGGTGTAAGGAGGCTGAAGAGGACGACGCACTGTGTCCGTGCGAACGAAAACATGAATGCAGGTAGAGAGTTCACTGTGCATTTGCACATCTCTGTACTGCTCACGAGGAGAGGTCAGGCGCAGCATGCGCATGCATTGAGAAAGAGACGATGCGAAGTTTGACGGGGAATACATAATGGCGAGGGAGATGAAACCATCTCTCTCGGATGCCTAAGAGTAGTGCCATAGACCAGTTCTGCTGGTGCGCATTGCAGGCCAACTCTGATGCTATTGTGAAGAATGATCGATAGGCTGACAGCGAACGGTACTGTGTTGGAAATGCGTGATGGCCTAGCAGCCCGATTTGTGATGGGGCGATTGATAGGTGGGGAGTGTTTAGTCAGCTTAATAGGCTAGTCATTGCAATTCTTATTATTTAGTTATCGGATCACTATCTCATCAATAGAAAAGACCAAGGTGGACCTGAGCAATTAATGTACGATGGGCGCTGATTGCTATCGCAGTTGATGACGAAACACAATAATGTCCAACGCAGTCGTAGCTTCAGAACTCGCATTCCAACAAACCAGTAGCTTTTATTAGGTTGTTTTCGTTGCAAAAAGTAATCCGACTACCTGGAACTCTGTTCTTGAAAAGTACAAGGTGTTTCAAAAGTATGGCAGGATGTTCCTAAGTTGCTCATTGAATCGTCTGCACCCGTGACCGGGAGCGCCCTAAATTGTCAACTGTCCAATGGTATATGTTGGTCTGCCAAAATTTCGCTCACCCAATCACAGGAGTATGACGGGCCGCAGTGATGGCAGAATGCCAGCACTGTCCGACGGGTGTTGTGACGATGGATGGGTAGACAGAACAGCCCGCATGACGTGAATGAGAAATGCATTCGCCACAGTGATGCAGCCTATGGATCGGTTTTGGTACGATCGACGGATACACCGCTCTGAGGCAAGTTAATAAGCTAGCCACAACGAGCCCTATGTGTTCGATGTCTTAGTCATTGAGAAAGGACACACACCGTTGTCATTAAGTTATTCGCAACCACAGTCTCGTAACGTGCCTGTGGATCAGCGGGTGATCCCTCTGCGACTCTATGCTGAGCGCCAATCGAACGCGGCAGAAACTGCGCGCCGCTAGAACGCTACCGAGTGCACAGTGAGGACCGTTAACGACCGGTACGTGCTTCGACTAGTGAAGAAATTTGATAAAAAATGGGGGCGTGTGCAACGCCAAACGAACTGGGCGGTCCGGCACCGCTAAGGATGAGGTTTCAGACTGAGCTGTTGTAGTTGAGGTATCCCTAACCATTGACAAACCTGGTAGGGGCAGCTCTGAAGGGACCCGGGTGCACCACCCAGTATAGAAGAAGTAAACAAACAGTTGTACCACGTCAAGATACAGTCTCGTTGCAACGGCCTTCTCTAAGCTATGACCACCGTCCTAGTCCCACGGCCACAGTAAGTGGACTACTCTATGTTGTATCGCGGTAGTAAAAAGCGCGACTGTGCTATTTTGCTCAGTATGAGTCTTGTCACTCGCCGTGCGACCCCAGCTAAGATAGTGTGAAAGCAGCGCTGGAAAAGAACCGGCGTTAGCTGCGTCCGCACATGTCCACTGCAGCAAAGCAAAAGTTTGTATAAGAAATTTAAAAGGGCAAGGTGTGTGGCACAAACCAAAAACGAACAAAGCCGTGCGGTATCACCAAATGAACTGAGCTTACTACAATCTTCAGCAGAGTAGACAGGTACATTCGTTTTAGTTAATAGTGAACTTGACTTTCGTTTCACTATGGTTGATAGAACCTACGATATTGGCTCTTGTTAGACTGGTCCTAACCCCAATGCCACATCTACCACCTACCTGCAACCATATCTTGTAATCCCCGTCAGAGCGTAGACCACGCGAACATAGTCGTGGCATATGTGCAGTAGTCTCCGTAATGTGCACTACTGTCCGAGCGCAGCCAACGTATCGACTAGGCAGCGACGCAGCCTGAGCCGATCGATTTGAAAGCTGCTCGCGTGAATGGGAGGGCTGAGATGGAACCGCTGAGGGATAGCGAGCGAATCAAGCTAGAGAATACGGTCTTTTTGGGAGCTGGGTGATCGGGATAAAGCAACCTTAGCAGAAAAGGTGAGGCGATTTTGACTACCTCGGTAACTAATGTATTGAGTACCAAATATATAAATAAATAAATTTGTATATTTACCGACAGACGGTACATGGACCCATAAGTGGGAGCGATAGCAAACCGAACGGGAGTTGAGGTGGCACGATGAGATCAAGTTCCGCGACAGTTAGCAAGTTTTGTGATTGTTCTGCGTTTCGCGGAAAATTCGGGTCTTTAATCGTTGCTCATGATTGAAATCAACGGCCCAAGTTTTACAAGAACGGTAACACAGCAAAGCTTATGATAGTGCTACAACTGCGCTCGATTCGAATTAGTCCAGACGAAGTTATGTTAAAGCGGAAACAAGTCCAGTGAGACAACTAACGGAAGCGATTGAGTGCGCTTGCGTGGCACGTACCCCATTGTTGTTGTGTCGTAAACATTACAAAGGGCAGGTTGGAAATATTTGATACATTCGCTAAACTACAGAACACAAAGGAGATATCTAGTTTGTTTGCTACAAAGACATTCGGTCAATATGAGACCCAGATCAGCAGCAAGCGCGTCGCACCCAGAATAATGAGGCAGATCGCTGAGGACACATTCAGCATATGGATCTGAGCAAACCAACTGCATAACAAACGTGTTATCGCCGTACACCGTGCAGAGTTCACTAGCAGAAGGTAGCATGTTATACTCCACCCCGATTCCAGCTGACAGGTTATGAGTCAGGATCTGCAGAAGTTTAAGCAAGCGACTTTAGGCACAAAGCAAAGGAGAGCAACAATAGCGAGGGGGTGCGTCTAATCTGAGATAGAGGAAGATGCAAAGTAATGCATATAAATTTACAACTAGAAGAGAGAGAAAGAGATCCCCTAAAATAAACACGAATTAAAAGACATTCGTGGAGTTTTGATAAAGTTCTATAACAGAGTTCGGGACACGAGCGAGTGAGCTTGATTTCATGACGCGAAGCTCAAGAGAAGCAATATCAGCTCAACCCAAGATGGCCTTATTAACAAAATCATCCTCAAACGAGGACAGTTGCATTGCAATAATGGTACAATCGCAGCAGATTTGAATCGGATAACTAAAAGATTGTGTTGGTGGACGCTGATGGAGCCGATGTGTTACAATGCAGTGTCCAGGTCCAAGGTCTAACCAGTAACCCGTTTACAAGTTTTTGGAAAATCTTAAAAGCAAACGAGTAGTGTAAGGAAGAGTGACTATCAGAAATTAAGACTGAAGTCGTTCGGCCAACTCACAGATGACCACATTGTGAGTAAACCATGTGGTTGTAACAAAAACACATTGGATAAAAGCAGACCTTTAATCCTTGGCCTACACCTAAACTGAATAAAAGTGACACACAGAAAAAGCACAGTTCGAATGAAACCGTTCAAATTTAGCAGAGATCCTGGTGTCACCATGCGTTTGTTAAGCAGAAATACTACATCATTCGCGTAATACCGGTTAACCAACATTCACTCGACAAGAACACAATACTTGAATTGTGGGACCTTACAAATGAACGCTTGATGGTTAGCGATTTGACAGAAATACAGCAGACCTAACAAGCAGCTCATATCGGGTGGGCACCTGATAATTCCCCATGGATCTTGATGTGACCTAAGATGTTTGAGTATGGGGCGAAGGAAATGCCTATGGATTCTATAGGTACACTGTTCAATATGTCGAGTGAGATGGAGCAATGGACTGAGTCGAACGCAATCTTGGCGTCTGGAACCACAAGTGTAGTCAACATGCTGTAAGTGATACACCACTCTACAAACTGCCGCAGAGTAAACACACGATGGATGCAGCCCTATCAGGTTCGGGAGCCGAGTTGTCCTGCCCCTACTTAGCCAAAGTTTGTAGACTTGAATGGAGGAAGGTAAAAGTTTCGTTAAGGGACGTCAAGCTATTAAACGCGGTCAAGCACTTTCAGCATTGGGAGGACAGAATGAAGGCGAGATGAAGTATAAGTTTTTATAAAAAGCAGAAAATGGCGTCCAGGAAATACAAGTTCATCGACACAAAAAAGCATGCCGCTGAAAACAATGAACGAATACGTATCAATATCACATGGAGAGAAGATGACAGGGCGAAGGATGCCCCTTACAAGAGAACGCAACCAGTTTTGACGGAGAAAGGGGATGCAGCTTGTAATCGTCTAGATGCAAAATGAAGGCGACTCATTCTAACCCGACGAATGGAGGATTGAGATTAGGGTTCGGAAGCCTGAAGCAAGCGGGGAAAAACGCGTAGGTTACTGTTAAATAAGCAGTAGTCTAAACTAATTAAAAACAGAGTAGGGAACTACGTTAACTGACAAAGATAAGGTGGCATCGGCGAGACAGTCCTCGTGGCTTTCACTGCCCCGCGTCATAATCATTCATTACCCCGCAGATAACAGCACCGAACACACTTTAAACAGGAAATTCGATTAGGAGACGGCAACAGACGCGCCATTGGTGTCGGTTGACAGTCATGTCCTGTAAAGTCTCGAGCCAAGCACAAGGCGAGTCAGGTGGACTACAACCCGGAAGGCGAGGCGGACCAACGGCACCCAGTTTGATCGTCAGTGACTTCATTTCCCGCTGTAAAGTCAACTTCTGTCACCCTCGAGTCTTGCGCCATCCTACATCTGACAGACTAAACAAGGTCCTCCCAGGTAAGCGGTGACCAGGCGTACCTAGCACGTGCCCCAGCCAACGCAACTTATTCAGTGCTATGTGTTGTTCTAGGGAGCTAGCATGTTTATCACTACCTAGTACTCGCCTATGCACATCATGTTGTGGACACGCTGGTGCCATCCGACACCAGCATGGCTTCGCAGACAACGATGATCAAAGACTTGAAGGCGCCTCAGATCTTCAGGACGAAGTGGTCAAGTCTCACTACCTTAAAGCAGGACAACCCTCACTGTGGCTTTGTATACACGGGCTTTCAGATGGAAGGAAACTCCCTTCTGTTGCCATAGATGTCACGGGTTAAAAAGGCAGTTCTAGTTTTTGAAATGCGTGCACTGAATCCAGTTTCTATGCGCTCATCGTTGCTGATGCAGCTGCCAAGGTAAGTGAATTCATCAACATTTGAGTTCCACGTTAGCGAGGGTCAAGGGGTCATAAAGTGGCTGGTGGTCCTGAAACAACACATTGCACTATGAAGATGCGAAGCGCATACCAATTAATGGGACTACTCTAGACAGGCTATTCAGGGTTGATTGTGCCGCCGCAACATCGTCAAAAAGCAAGACGATATCGTCCGCATAATTAAGATCAACTAATCTTCCACCAGGTAGCACTTCAACGCCTAAATCGTGAGATTCCGCAAGGGAATACCCATGATAAAGTCCAAGACGAAACTGAACAAAAGCTGAGAAATCGGACAACCCTGACGAACGCCACTTGTGGTCGGAAAGCTATCCGACAGGTTATCGTAGATCCTGACGCCGCCTGTAGTGTTCGAGTATAGAGCACGTAGGATGTTCACATATTTCGTGGGAACACCTGTCCGCGCAAGTATTTCGAACAGAATCGACCAATCGACTGAATCGAACGCACTCTTGAAATAGAGGAACACAGCTACTGTCGATCTGCGGTAGGCGTGGCGCTGCTCTAGCACCTACCGGAAAGCTAATATATGATCTATACAGCCACGTCCTGGGCGGAAACCTGCCTGCTCTTCCCTAATCCGAGATTCCCGTTCCGCAGTGAGGCGACGAACGAGAATCGAGGCCAATAATTTTGTCACAACTGGCGTTAGGTTAATAACCCTGTGGTTAGAATAGTCTGTGCGACTGCTCTTCTTGTAGATTGTCACTATAATCGATTCGCTCCAATTAGCCGGGACACACTCTTCCTTCCAGATACGTTCGAATAGGGAGGTCAGTGCATTGCAGAGGACCTCACCTCCATCATTAAATAGTACAGGTGGAAGGGTATCCGGGACAGCGACACGAAAACTATTGAGGACTGTGATCGCGTTTCGGACCTCGGCCTCCAACAGAGGCTCTAGACTAACTGTTCATGGATCGTCCAGCATCACCTGAGTAGGAAGAAGTCCGGGAGCAGGAGGCCAGCTGAAGTGATCCTGAAAGTGCTCCGTCCAACGAGTAATACGGCGCTCCTTACTGTGTATCAGTGCACCCGCGCTGTCTTTGATTGTCTCACTGACGCCTGGTTTCCTCGGACCATTGGTGCGGATTAGCTGGAAGAACTTGCGGTAATTGTCCACTGCTCCTGCCGGTCCATTTCTTGAGCCTGACTAGTCCACCAGGCTTTCTTGTCAGCACGTAGGCTCCGCTTTAGTTTGCGCCTAATAGTCCGTCTGGTCACATTGTGCTCAGAGCCAGCCAGGAGGTTTCTTCTGGATTCCAACAGGTTCACCGAAATCTCCGATATCGAATAACGGGTGCGGTGACGATCGATAGTGACACAAGCAGATGCTCCTGCGTCGTGCATGGTGGCCGAGATCCGATTCCAGTGAAGTTCAGTGTCATTAGGACAAGACAGCGAAAGTTCGATACGCAGTGCGTCTTGATAGGCATGTCTGACCGAGGAGTGAGACAAATTCTCGGTTGCCAGTCGAAGGAGACGCTTGGTGCGCCTGCCCGTAAAATTAATGGAGAAACGACAGAGTGCTAAGGCATGATCAGAGTCGATGCAGGTACTCCAGTACGAGCGGCAATCCAGGATGGAACCACGCCATCTGTAACTTATGACAATGTAGTCAATTTGGGTCCATCGCTGGCCAGCTACAGGAGGACGCCAAGTGACACTTCGAAGCCCACTGTGTCTAAGAGCAGTGCTACTAAGAAACAACTAGTGCTCCGCACACAGTTGCAGCAGACGCTCCCCGCTGCCAGTCCGTTCGGAGTTGAGCCCATAATTACCACCCATCTGAGCTTCTGAAGAGCTCAGACGCCCTACTTGTGCGTTCATATCACCTTCAAGTACTATAATATCTGAACTAGGAGCACTGCGTAGTAGCGCGTTCAGTGCTTAGTACAATGTGTCCTTGACAGCATTTGAACTGTAGCCGGTGGGAGCATAAGCGGAAATCACAAACAAACAGCGTTTTGTATTACTTCGTGAATCCACCTTAACTGATGTCGTCAAACGGGCTGCGCATAAACGACTGTTCACCGGGATCCAATGAACCAACGATGGCTCAGCCCTGGAGCATAGAATGATACCTACACCAGCTCGACCCGTAAGTGCTGCATCGGCGTCGCCGGATGCGTGCAACCAATAACGAGAGGATAACCCGGGTGCAGTTAATTCATTAACCCCGTTAGGGTTATTGATCTTAGTTTCGGACACACAACACACAACAACACCCAGTGTGTCCAAGGTGCGTGCGAAAACAGCCTGTTGACCTGATTGTCTTAGAGTGCGAATGTTGAACGCCGACATGGAAACGGGACAGCGTGGCCCTATAAGGGACTTTTGCCGATAGCCGCGGTGGGATGGTGGCTGTAGATGGTTCTACTCTAGTGGCACTTATGTTGCTGTCAATTAAGCTGGGAATTATAGAAGGAAGGTTAGTAATGGGGGTCGGGATGGGAGTAAGAGAAACGGGTGAAAAAGAAAGAACGGAGGCGCTTATCCGCCCTGCTGTATGTAGCAGATAAGGCGACCCTTGATAATCTGCACGACGACCGATGCTGGATGTGTTTGAAGTTTGAAGAAAAGGTCACGATTGTATGTGGGCTGAGATACTGCCAGGGCGCCTAGACCTAGATAGGAGGACGATTAGGGTCCTTAACCAAAGCATTTGGCTCAAAAGCCTGTTCGCAAGACAGCGGCGAGGTGACAATGATCTAGTTTTGCAGAAATGGACGCCATCCCATTTCAAACCCCCAACCTGGAGGACCAGGAGAGTGAGTTTGTCTGACCTCTCACCATTGACCAACCTGGTAGGAGTAGCTCTCAAGGTGCCCGGAGGCATCACCCAGTATAGCTCACTGGGTCAATGAGGTACGCAAACTGTCGCACCATGTTAAGGTCCAGTCTCGTTTCGACGGACACGTACTCCGTATGCCTGGTCACCGCTTACCGAGGAGGGCGTTTTGTTTGCTAGATGTAAGGAGGCATAAGGCCTGAGGTGGGAAAAAGTTAATTGGGCAGCGAGAAATGAAGTCATTGACTACAAAACTTGGTGCCGTTGGCCCGTTTCGTTTTCCATGGTAGGGTACACCTGACTCACCTTGTGCTTTGGTCGAGATCTTACAGGATATGGCTCGCAGTCGGCACTAGTGGTGCGTCTGTTGTAGTCTCGTAGTCCGAATGCCTGGTCAAAGTGTGCTTGGTGCTGAGTTATCTGCGGGCTAATGACCGATTATGAAAAGCGGGGCAGTGAAAGCCGCAAGCAAGCTATGTCGCGATGCCGCGTTTGCATGACAGCCAGCTGTATGTACGGTATATTGTTGACAGGGTGTAGGTGCTTTGACCCTGAATGTTTGTTTAGGGCATTAGGGTTTTACACTAGGTCCCCGTGGCGAAGCTGTACGCTATTGGGCGCGTCCCAAGGTTGCGGATCGGAGAATGCCTTCCTTGTGGAGGTAACTGTTAATCAGTCGCGTTTGCTTTGCAGCTGAGATGAATAAGCAGTCGCGGATAATCAGCGGCAGCGTCTCAGAGCATGGGGAGTTCTGGGCTGTTCACCTGGTTCGCCATTAAATACCACAAGTGCTGGTACATTGCTGTGTCAAAGTCAGTGTGACCGGCTATAGGGTCACCGACCACTCACTCCTGTAACTGAGGGTGAGTATCCAACGGAGGCGGATGAACGACCTCACTGGCCACTGGCTTCTCTGTGGACTGCTTCCGAACACAAAGAAAGCGAATGAGCCACTTGGCTATCAGCGGTCTTTGTGAATCACCCCGCTGCCTTGCCGGGTCAGGTCTTTAGACCTGGGGTGGGGTCCATTAACTCAACCCTCGTCCTCGGCAACCGGGAAGCTCAGTGTCCACACAGCACTTTGCTTCCATTCCTTTGACTCACTCTCTCCCTTTTGTTACTATTACTCATGTGCTGTGGCACACTGCCAAATGTTTATTGGGCAAGTGTTAAATATATATATATATATATATATATATATATATATATATATATATATATATATATATATATATATATATATATATACTAGGTCGCCCTTCTCTCCTTCTTATTATTGTTCATTCTGTAAGTCACCGTGGTTGTACGGCAGCGAAGCATCAGTTCAAGTAGCTGATGTACTGCTGGTGATGATAATGACGACCAACAAAGATCACAGGAGTTAGATGTTTGGTCACTAATAGAACAGACGAGAGCAATTGTACTTGCAGAACTCAGGCTGTTCCCAACGGCAGTATACACCGAAACGATCAAACGACAGGGTGTAGTGAGGCGTTATCGAATAGGCTCTAGTGAGCTTCGTAATAGAAGGCATCACACCTATTCATATAGATCATGAAACATCGAGTTAACTTCACTCGAGATACGAAAATTGGAGCTACATACCAGAGAGCGCACAAAACGAGATTCGCAGATGAAGTACAATACAATGCAGAGGATACAGGATAGGAGCGCGAGTTTCATGTTGACCAGTCTGAAAGGTTATGACTGAACTGATATGAAGTGGACCCTTCAGTTGAAAGACGATCCAGTTAGAGTTTAGTTGATAACAACTAAGTCCGGGGAAATCACATGCCGATAAGAATGGAATCTACCAATGGGATGAGAGAGGAAAAGAAACCGTGAGACACGCCTTATGGCAGTCAATCGAGAGGTGCCAAGTGATCCCCGCTACTACGAACAACGATCATATGCATGATGTGCCAAAACGATGTAGCAAGGTTCGCATGTATGTCCTGTCGTCCCAGAGAACTATTGGAGGAGGCTGAATGAGACCTTTAGTCGGCTAAGGGAACAGAGCGAAGGTGACACGGGGTGTATTAGTGGATTGCTAAGTATTCTCATCCGATTTGAGCCAGACTGGCCTCTAGGCTCATCACATGCAGCCGGAGCATACAACAATGGACCGGGTTCGATGTCTGCTAACTCTCTCTGATGGAGGTAATAACCTCGAAATGCGACATAGTAGTGCAGCGTTTTCGGGCGGGCAAAACCCAATTTCGATTTGTAACAATGGAGCACGTTTATACAGCCAGAGAGGTGTACAGCGTCGCTGGCAGCAAACATGAACAAAACAAAAACTGGAGTACACGCCTAAATCGACAACGCACTATCACCAGTTACTTACCGTGAGTCCAGGGGACGATTTATTCTTTAAAGAGTTGGGTGTCGTGGCACTGAGCCTCGGCCATTCCAAATCGACATCACATTTGGTGCGAGCACTGGATCTGTTCCCAGTGGTCGATGTGGACTTTTTTGGAAGCTGAACAGGGGTTGACGTACATGGCTGGGGTATGAATCCCTTGTCATGCGACTCATTCGAAGGAATAATCTGTCTAGAGAACCCTGTATTTCCTTTCCCTTTAGGTATATCGCCGTTGCATTTGAGAGAATGGTGAGTATGCTGACTCACCTTCACGGAAACCACTGTTGACCGGCTTGAACAACGAGTTCCGGTGGACGACTTTACCGCACTGGGTGATGAATGATAATTAGTGTGGTAAGCGTGCTTTTGTGAATATCGCTGCTTCGAACCATACTTGGGAGGTCCATTTAGAAAGTTGCCATCTGCACCCGCTGGCCAAGCGCTCCAGCCAGCGGACGGATAGAGAGTGGAGCGCAAGCCGCCGCTAGTTGGTATCGATGCATCCCGAACACCCATGTCAGGTGCACTGTTGAGGCAGGGCGCAGTGAAATCAGCGAAGACATACTGAGCCGCTTGGTCCGGCAGCATACCACATATTTGTGATTGCATAGGTTGCGACAAAAACACGGGGTAGGCGGTGCCATTTCCAGGTTGTAATGGTGGACTGCTGCCACTAACGATGTTGGTATTTGGAATGCTGCCGCCCATGGGCGTTACGGTACTGTCTTCATGTAACCCTAGCCTGTTCATTGCAACAGTTGGATGAGAGTCAGTCAGTTGAGACATCGGTGGACCATGCCAATAGCTCATTGGCGCCATAGCAAGAGAACCAGCAGTGAGCGAAGTGGCAACCGCTGGCCCTGTTTGGGGCTGTCCCGAATTCGGAGTGTATAAGCCATTGAAGCACCCGGGTAGCGGACCATGGCCGAGTAAAACTGTGGTGTTGAAATTTGGAGGGAACTGATGGGACAAACTCGTCATTGAACTGTGTTGATTTGTTCCAGATAGTGTAGGAGTGGATGGTTGACCCAATGCGCTGAATTGAGGATGATGAGGCAAGTGGTGATGTTGTCCATCGTCCTGAAAGGCTGGAAATAATGAAGGTTGTGGATAGCAGTAGCTAAAGTTGAGCAAGTTTGCAGCATGCGGTAAAGAAGAACCAGGTTCTAGTGACCACGACGGATCAGTCACACAGTTGCGATTGCACGGCCGGGAGCGCCATGAATCTGGTGGAGACAAAAGAGACAGTGATTAGATCGCTCTCGAGGAGGAATCGGTGAAGAGGAGTTAGACTGCCATTCAGAAAATGGCAAAGGAAGCTTTCATGAAAGCCTATTGCGTTTATAATTATCGAGCACTTCGTCTCATTTTGACATCAACCAACGTGAAGCCAAAGATAGTAAAACGAGAACAGAGAGAGGGAAGAAATGCGATCAAAAGCATCTAACAGCGATTCTATAGAGAAGGTTCAGGTAGTTAAAAAACGGTCTGTGAACTCAAGTACTGTCACAAGACTGTACAGACAATAGTGAGAAAGCGATATGAAGGGAAAAGAAGTTAAAGCAGAGAAACAAGAAGCTGAATCTGTTAGCCTCACTGACAACAGCTGAGCTGCATCTGATGAGGTTTCCGATTTGTAAGCTGCAAAAATAGTTCACAATAAATCCAGCTAAACTGACGCTCGCCACAAGCTTATCAGCAGTAATTGCAATAATATTAAAAGTGACAGTGCAGGGAAAAATGGATGAAGATTTGAAAATCACAAGAGTATTTAAAACCCAGGGGAAACGAATGCTAGAGAGTCAGTGGCTTAGCGACCGCAAGGAACTTTTAAACATCGATGTGACGGACCCATTGGCCCCAACCAATAAGATAACATACGTCAGTCTGATAATGACTTGGGGAATTTCTTTATGCCATTTTGTCAGATCAGCTGCTGACCACCTAGAAGTTTCAGTAAATGAAGTACAGAATTGGAAAGCAATACCCAGGGAGACGAGTGATTGACAACTAGACGAAAAAGTGGCATGGCTTACAGAGGTTATCCGCTTCAACAGAAGATCATTTTTGTACACTAAGTAGCGCACGCCAGCATTGCTCACTCGAAGATTCGAGTAGACACGACGAGTGAAGCGCTGCAAGTGTTGTTAGCATACCGAAATGCTATACGGAAGTAAAGTAAAAAAGTAAATCGCCAGCTGTACGCCGTAACGGCGCTTCGCTGCCACGCGACCACCCCCAGTCGCGCGTGGGCTGATTATACCGCGAGGACGCCCGCCCTTACGCGGATTCGAACCGGTGACCTTATGGTTGCAAACCAGACGCGCATACCACTCGGCCACCGGCCGACAATGCTACACGGAACGTTTGGCCTAACGTCTGAGAATGCGTCGATCGTTCATTTCCAATAACTGCTTCTCCCAGCGTGAGGCTGCTTAGACATGTGACTGTTCCTGACCAACTCTGGGATTCCTACTATGTTACTGATTAAGACTTGTAAATACCCAGAGAATAATTACCCACGGGGATCAACACAGTGCCACAACTTGATGGAAACCGTGGAAATCCATGGATGTTTTAAACCAGTTAGTCAAATGAGTTCAAATATTGTCTTCACGGCGCACTGGGGACGATTGCAATCGGGGGTCGGATCACTTGAAACTTTCCAATACCGGTAGCTAACGATTAAATTTGGCGCCAACACTGTTTAGCGAAGTGTGAGATCTGGTGAAGAGTGGAACTCAACAGAGACGGGCACCTTGCCGAGAGAGCGAATGCTATCCAGATGCCGTGTCACAAAGAATTGGAATGCGAGTATTTGCTAAAGCCCGACGGACAATGGTGCACGGGAGTGTACCTCTTGTGGCTGATGGTCAAGCTGAGCTTAGGATGCCGTTTCATTTATCGGGCGACAGACATACTAACTGGGGCTTCTCCAAGCTACGCTACTACACGACGCTACGCAACAACGCACTGATGACGTCAAATCGACTGATGATGAAACGTCTACAATAATAGTACCAATCTCAACGAACAGTTCAACCGTTAGGGGAGGAGATGCAAACGCCTGCAACGGAAGACGGTGCTTCTAATGTAAGGACAGTTGTCTGAACCCAGTCAGAGACCCACCACCATTAGCAGTACAATGAGAATCAACTTTAAGGAGAAAGTTAACGTACTGGCACAATTGAGCATCCAGGTTATTGGCAACGAATATAGTGGCTGTAATTCTGATTGTGTGGATGAGGTACCCATAGAATACGTCTTTCAACGTCTTCAAACTGCAGTTGGCGGGAGCTTGAAAAAAAATCATAAATTCAGTGGTGGCTCCCCTCAAGGTTCCGATGGCTGGGTTACATGTTGCACATGCAAGCACACCGACCCTCCACGACCGGGGTGTGGATGGAGGAAAAAATACGAGGCCAATCGGTGACTCGGTAAAGATGAATGAAGACCCACACTTTGAAGTTAGTGTAGGTTGGTCTCTCTCGAATGCTTGGTTGGGGTCCAAAGGATGAGGAACACTTTTGGTCAGGTACATTCCTTGACAAGACGAAGAGCCGACCCCAATGGCGCTTCCGATGTGAGCTTCTTTGTCTCTCTCCCTCTCCATCCTGGTTAGCTTACCTGTCCAACCAAGATGTCACACTCGATGCATAGTATGATACTAGGCATCACGTTACATTTTACAGGTTTTATTTTTATTGTGTAATGTTTAGTATCTCGCTTTTTCATATATCTTATCATGTTGTATTGCAGCACAATAGCTGAGATCTTTATCATCTTTAGCTAAAGTGTAATGATAATGATGAAGTAAGAAGAAACGGAAGAGAAAAGTACACTAACGAGGAAGTCGCGTGCATGACGGACTCACATTTGCGACCGAACGAGCACATCATAGGTGATATCCCCACATTTGCATTTGATCCTACCGGGAGTATATGCTACATTGTCTTGCTGAAATAATCAGGCAGAAGTACTGATTCCGGGCTTGAATGTACGTTGCCTTGTTTTTTTGCGGACGGTGGTATTCTTGCTCCATTTTCGGTCAAAGGACATCGAAACGCATGCGTCCCCTCCCGTTCATCAATGCTTCTGCATGAAGATTTTCGTTCAGTGCTTGTGGGTTTAGCGTGGTACGTTACAGGAAAACAAATATGTCGACTGCTTCTCGGTACGTATCCTTTTGATTTATGGAGAACTCACTTGAAGGTTCCTGAGAACCTCCCGGTTTGGCCACTCGACTATGGATGAGCGAATGTGCTAAACAGTGTATCACTTGCGGAACTCCGTGAAAGTTACCGAAGTGAACTGAGTGCCAGTACCTGTTACAAATACTTTTGGATAGCAGAAGCTGCTGCAAATTTGTTGCAGTTTTGATACAGTGACATCCGGTGTGCTCTCTATGAGGAATACTGTTGGTCAATTGCTACAATGCGAAAGATTTGTCCACAATGGCCTTGCGAAATCGACATGAATGCAACACCATGGTTTCGTGGGTTTTGGCCATGAGTTAAGTTCCGCTTTTCGTGGCGATTTAAAAGAATAGTCACACTTTTGGCAGCGTTCGCCAGGTGCTTCCAGCTGTTTGTACATAAAAGGTCGGTATACATAGTTGTAGGCAAGCAACTATATCCGGTTGATCACAGGATGTGTCGCATGAAATTGCAGAAGTATGCGCTCTTGTAGGGCGTTTTGGATGATCTCTTTCCGGAACTAGTATACAATCGTCCACAATGGAGAACAACCGTCTCCTCTGATAACACTATTACAATTGGGCTGATGAACATGAATGTTGTCAACTGGTACTGTAGAACTGGGGGACCTTGAGTACTGTGTTGTGGAAACTGCGTGAACACAAAGAAGCCTCCCTCCGGTACCACTCAACCCATGGAAGTGGCCAACCAGACCATGGGAGCGTGTATACGCTGACTTTTGATGCACAGAAGGCCAGTTAACCGGAGACTCAGGCAAGGGAAACAAATGAACACGGTTCAATCATTGATTGCTTCGGCACTGACTCCAGTAAGAACAGACAACAGGAAGTAAGCGAACTAGGTTCACGCAGATGACGCAAGCGTCACGAAGCGTCATGATTCGTGCAGCTTCTGCAGTAACTCGTAGGTCATGTAATGCGTCACTCACGAAGAAGTTGATGCCAGATTCGAGCTAGACTGTGCCTATGGTCGTGTCTTCTTCCTCTTGCTGATGTGAGTCAATAAGCCGTGATAGTGCGTCCGCTTGGTTCGTAGAAACTGTTGATTTGGAGCGAAGCTCAAAATCATAGCTCAGCAGGGCGAATACCAAACACTGGATGCCGGTGGATGTACAAGCTGGAATGCCCTTCCGTGAGCCGAAGACGGTCAGCAACAGTTTATGATCCCTCAGAAGCGTGAACCGGTGGCCATTTAGAGTCGTGGAATTTCTTCACTGCTCGGACCACAAAAGCAACCCAACAATTCTAGGTCTACTACTGAGTAGTAGAGGAATTTAGAGAATAGTCGCGGCTAGACAGCCGCCACACACGCAAGGAAGCGCATCCTGCGAGGAAACTTCTCAAAAACAATAAAACCTCCATATTACTCATTGGCAACCAGTAATCACCCTAGCAGCCTATATGCCACTTCAGTTGCTGACAGTTTGCAAAGGATGTCGTAGCTCTTGGACCAGCTATGTCCTCTGTATGTCCATAACCTGCATGCCAGTGGAGGAAGCGTCGCACTATATCACAGTTAGATATCAGTCATGGCGGTACGCCGCCGTCAACCATGGCTTTCTGGCATCAGTCGCTGGCTCATAAGAATAAGGTCATGCGTTCGAATTAGACAGGATTCAGTAGGTGCGCGCTACTGACAAATCCCAATAGAACGAAACGGCCGGCCAGCGGTCTCCTGGATGTGTAGTGGCTGTCTAGCTGCGACGATTCTTCCCAATACTAAGTCTGCTAGCGGAGGCGTTTACTTTGGGGCTTCTACGTTCGCCGGATCTGATCGACAGCCAACAAAGACAAAGGCACATTTACCTGCACAGGTATGGCGTTCCTTCTAACGTTCACTATCTCGTTATTGGAATGATCGAGACCAATAACGCAAGATTGCTTTTGCTCCGAAGGCATGGTAAACACAAACCCTGCATATCAATGCTCATATGAATCGAGTCGTTAATTGAATCCGAATACCTGGAGAAAATGAAGTTCACAACCCGCATCATGTGACATCTGGTGGGC